TAGACTAACATATTTAAGTGCGCTGTTGCCCTCAACCACACTTGGAGTGGGGGTCGTCCGTAGGTGGATTTTTGACACGGGTCTTGCCCGTGTTGAGATTGCGCTGGAACCCCCATTCCCTATACTACTTCAGGTGACTAACTTTATTGAAATAAGTGTATTCAAAAACGTTCACGCAAAGAGCATACTGACAAAGAAAATTATTATTTTGATTTATTAAATCTGTCTCTTGCACTTGTGAAGTTAAACTAAATGTAGGTTTGTATTTTACGAAAGTTTTTGCCTGGTTCTTGCTTTGCATGCACGACTGCCGTGAAACATTCGTGAAAAGCCGTTCTTTTTCCGACTTAAAAAAAWTTTTTTTACATACCATTTGCTTAAGGAAATCTTTTCTTTTACACAGGAAATAATTATTTATTATTGTTCTTCGAATTGAATAAGTTTTCTGGTACTTTGAAGGCTTGAAATATCGCTTTTTTTCAGTTTTCCTCCTGCTTGTAAAACCAAGAAGAGATTAAGGAGCTGCTGCAAACACGCCAAAAACAGAGCGAGTCACGCTGTTTCGTAACGCCGCGTCACGCTTGTCACGCTTTTAGCACCCGATTTATCCTCAAAAAAATATTTTAAAAAATCATAACTTTTTAAAACGCGTGGGTACCCCCATTTTTTTTTTTCGTTCAAAATGTAACAGAAATAGTTAAATTATTTTTAATAATAGAATTTTTAGAATAAAAATGGTTTTGGATGCAAATGTAAGCAAAAATGTAGCATCCCTTTAGAACCATATTTTACACTTTTGAAGGCAAAATTTGGTTAAAAAAATGGTTTCTTATATGATACATAAAAGTTTATATATTTGATATAAAGAGCACAAATAGTCGTTTATTTGAAACAAGTTTCAGATAAAATCGATCAAAACAACTTCGTAATATGATTTTTTCCCTTGCGTAAAAAAGTGCTTACGTCATCGGTGTTTAACATCAATTATCTCGTTTAGATGCGTGGGCACCCCCAATTTTTTTTCGGATTCCAGTGGCCTCTTGGGTGATTTAAATGACTGGCACAATTTGAAAAAATTAAAAATGGTTCGCAATTAGTAGGCACCAATCTTAAACCAAACTTTTAAGATTCCGATTATATTTCTTTGTCGCATAAACCAATCAGAAACGAGTATTTACTACCCTCTCAATAGACCCTAACCCTGTTTAATACCTAAACTACCACAATCCTTTTTAAGATCTCTTTTCATATTCGATTGAACACGTCGTCCACAGGTATTATTTTTCAAAAACTCTTACACAAAATCAATGAGGACTTTAATTAAAACGATGGACGGCGAATCCAATTTGGCGACTGACCCATACACACAAATACCTTCGTTAATCGAAAGATGAACGCCTGAAACTAGCAAGCCATGGTGAAGAGTGAGTCACGAGCAAAAGCTTTTTGCTGATTGGTTAATTATCTCAGGACTATAGAAGCGAAATCATTTGCTATTGTAATGCGGCTTTTCTTGGAAGTCGGGGATTCCCCAGAAGAAATATGACACTGAGCGTTTTACATAATACGCGTCTTGGATATCA